GAGTTCCTAGTGTAAATCAATTCACAAACAGGCCCAGAAAGGTCGGGGCAGCAGCTGCAGACAAACTCTGACTCACAAGGATGTTGTACATGGTTTCTCTCGCTCAGGTTATATATTTGCCTCGAGTGACTGGTAATCTTTATTTCAAAGGAAGGCGAGTAAAAGCTGATTGGGAGTTTTTCAAACACCGAGATGGTGTGACAACTGGCACATATCATTGTTGAGCAACTTGGCATCCAGCAAGTTCTTTCACGAAGCGGCCCCCAAGGGCTATGGCTACAGATCCTTCATGTGGGGTAGTTCAATTTCTTCCTAAAAATGTTCTCCAATCCACTGCCCGTGGGTGCATGGGGGAGCCTAGACATGGTGTTGATGAGTTTAGATATAAACCTTCACCAGATCCTTCTCACCAAAACGGTTCATGTGTTGATGCCAGCACATTATATCCAATCACGGAGAAGCAAATGAATCATGAAGGCTCTTTTAGAGGCAGGGCCTGCTTGAAGGAATTAGATCACTGGGGAGCATGTCCGTGGGACTGTATCATTCTTCTATGTGACCTGACACCATGATGTAAGCAACTCTGTCCCCCTGTACACGTTATCACCATGATGAGCTACCTCACCACACCCATAGCAGTGGAGTCAACTGAAACCTCCAAAACTACCACCCAAAACAAATATTTCCTACTTTGACGCTGTCACCTTGAGTATTTCACACTGCAACGAATAAGACAGATGTGAAACCCCTGGAGCTGGTCTGTGAGTATTGGGGCATCATTCAGTAGCATCACATGGGAACCTGTCAGAAAACTGAATCATTAAGTTCTCCCCTAAACTGACTGCTTCGGTTCCCTTTCTTGTTGCTATGATAAAATACTCTGACCACAAAAGTTAAGGCAAAAAGGCTCACAATTCCAGGTTACACTCCATCATTATGGGAAAGTCAGGCAGCAAGAACTTGGAGTAACTAGTTATGTTATATCCACAGTCAAGAGCATCGGACAACAACTTAGTACTTGCACGCTAGTGGTTAGCTAACCTTTTCTGCTTTTATATAGCTCAGGATCCCCTGCCTAGGGAATAGTACCACCTACAATGATCAGGTCTTCCAGGTGTCACCACCATTTCAAGGCCAGCCTGGGATACACTGTATCAAAGAAACAGAAGTGTCTAGAGATTAAGCCCAGAGCAGCTAATGAGAACTTCATGACGTCAAGATGCCCCATCTCAAAGCCAGTCCTGTTGTTTGGGTACCCTACTATCCCTCCATCTCCTCAATATCTGGTTCTGCCAACTCCCAGGTCTTTCTAGCGTTCTAGATGAACTGAATGTTCCCCGTATCTTACCTTTCTGGGCCATCAGGGATGTTCTTTACCACTCTGACAGTGTTTACCATTCCACAGACTGTTGCCATCTTTATCCACCATTTCTGGGTTAGTAACTCCCACTGCCTTTATCAAAGATGGAAAGGGTGTTTCTGTTGCATGCCCCTGTTGCCTGAAGTACATTTAAGGAGAGGATGACAGAAACAAAACCCAGGCATTCTTTTATTTTTAATTATTTGTGTGTGAGAGAGTGCCTGCTCCCCTGAAGGCCAGAAGAGCCAGATCTGGAGTTCCGGGACATGGAGAGTGCTGGGAATCCAGCTCTGGTCCTCTGCAAGAAGAGTCTTGCTGTAACTGCTGGGGTCTCGCTAATCCCTCAAACTCAGACACTCGGGCATTCTTTTTTTTTTTTCTTTCTTTTTTTTTTTTTTGGTTTTTCGAGACAGGGTTTCTCTGTATTGTTTTAGAAGCTGTCCTGGAACTAGCTCTTTTAGACCAGGCTGACCTTGAACTCACAGAGATCCACTTGCCTCTGCCTCCCGAGTGCTGGGATTAAAGGCATGCGCCACCAACGCCAGGCCTCGGGCATTCTTAAATACGCTTAACACTAACTATACCAAAGAATGGTTAAGATGGTAAATTTTATGTTGTGTGTTTCTAACTATAAATAAAAAGACAAATAAAATTCTGCTATTTAAAAATTTCGCCATTAAGTTTCTATAAATTTCAGAAAACAATAAGCCATGTCCTTTTGAACCTCTTTTTTTTTTTTTTTTTTTTTTTTTTTTTTGGCTTTTCCAGACAGGGTTTCTCTGTGGCTTTGGAGGCTGTCCTGGAACTAGCTCTTGTAGACCAGGCTGGTCTCGAACTCACAGAGATCCACCTGCCTCTGCCTCCTGAGTGGGATTAAAGGTGTGCACCAACACCACTTGAGTCTGTCTCTATGCAGAATGTGTCACTACTTTTCCATTGCTGTGACAAATACCTGACAAGAGCACTTTAAAGAACAAAGGGATTAACCAGGTGGTGGTGGTGGTGGTGGTGGTGGTGGTGGTGGTGGTGGTGGTGGTACGCACACCTTTAATCCTAGCACTCAGGAGGCAGAGGCAGATCTCTGTGAGTTTGAGGCCAGCTTAGTAGTCTACAGAATTCCAGGACACCCAGGGCTACACAAAGAAACCCTGTTTTGAAAAACCAAAGAGGAGGAGGAGGAGGAGGAAAAAGGGCTCATTTTAACCAATGGTTTAAGAAGAGGGTTGGGTGGTGGTGGCACACGCCTTTAATCCTAGCACTCTGGAGGCAGAGGTAGGCAGATCTCTGAGTTCGAGGCCTGGCTGGTCCGACAGCCTCCTCCAAAACAATACAGAGAAACCCTGTCTTGTAAAAACAAAAAACAAAAAAAAACAAAAAGAAGAGGTACAGTCCATAGTCCAACATGGTGGGGAAATGAATGATGGTGGCAAAAGTGTGAGGCTGGATTGCCTTGCCCACCCTGAATACAGAGGAAGGTGCTTGGTCTTACAAAAGCTTGATATGTCATACCTTGCTGATCCCATGAGGGCACTGCCCATTTCTGAGTGAATATGAAGAAAGGGTGGATTGAGAGGGTGGGGGGAGGGAGTGGGAGGAGAGAAGGGAGGGGAAGCTGTAGTCAGGATGTAAAATAAATAAATTAAAAAAGAAGAAGAAAAAGAAAACCAGAAGCCCTCTACAACTGGTTGGACATCAACTTTGGAAAAAAGAATGAAATCAAGTGCAAACTGAACACCCAAGGGGAGTTCCATTCCCCAGCCTGGGAGGGAGGAAATGATGGAAGAAGGGAAGGAAAAGGTACTAGCATCCTTCCGGCAGCTGGCAGCTGCCAGGTGACACGCTCTCCAGTTTATGTACTTATCCCCCTTGTTAATTCTCGTGTCCTTGAAAAACCTGAAGTTTAGGGAAGGTAGGCTAGTTAGTTGGTTAAGGAAAACTAACCCATAAATCCATGAGTAGAACCTATTACTTCCCCAAAGGTCCCACTGATCAAATACCATTAATATGTGACTTCCAAGAATTTGGAACTCATGAAATTTGAGGGACACATCCAAATCATAGCAACATACAAAGCTAAATATGAATCTCAATTTAAACTCAAACCTCATAAAAATGTACTCAAACTGGATCAAAGATTAGGTGAAAATTTGTCACTATACTTAGAAAACAATGGGAAAAGATCTTCAGGAGTTAGAGCTGGATGAAAGTAGCTAGATGATCCCCAAAAACGTAATCTATAAAAGAAAAAAAAGATGAAAATTGACCATCCCAAGTGAAAACCTTTTGTTCTGAAAAAGATTCCATGAAAGGGTTAGACACATAGGGAAAGTGTTTGCAAACCACTGATCTGACAATGTACTAAAATCCCATAAAATACACAGAATTCTCAAAATTAAAATAAAAGCAATCTAATCAGAAAATGCACAAAGGCTATAAGAAGCTACGACACTGTAAAATATCATGTAAGTGTGTGAAAATATTTTCAGCATTGTTACACATTAGGGCAGTGCAAATTGAAGTTGGTGAGCTATCTATCCACTGAGCTACCAGAACTTTTTAAAAGAGGAGATAACTCAGAATGTTGAGAATAGAAACGTGAGACAAGCAAGAACGACTTTTTTGTAAAGTGCTGGAGATGTAAAAGGCTCAGCCAACTGGAGTAAGGCGTTTTCTCGTGATTACCTGAGTGTTTATAATACAGCCAGCGAGGGAGATGAATTGTTGATGAGTTGTTGAATACAAGCACACTCACATATTGTTAAATGTGAATCTGGTTGGACAGTGGTGGCACACACCTTTAATCCCAGCACACAGGAGGCAGAAGTAGGTGGATCTCTGTGACTTTGAGGCTAGGCTGGTCTATAAAGCAAGTTCCAGAACAGGCTCCAACACTCCAGAAAAACCCTGTTTCCAAAGACCAAAAATCAAACAAAACAACCAACCAACCTACCAATCAACCAAACAGAAAACATGAATCTGGAGAAAGTGGGTGGGTTGTTGCACCCACACCAGTACTAGTGGTATTACACTAAATGGATTCAAGGTGTTAATTCCAGGACAAACTGCTGGACAGGACTTCTTTGTCTTGTTTCTTTCAATTGAATGTCAGTGTACAGTGGTCTCAAAATCAAAAAGATGGTTTAAAAAATGGTTTGTTTTTTTTTGGGTTTTCGAGACAGGGTTTCTCTGTATTGTTTTGGAGGCTGTTCTGGAACTCATTCTGTAGACCAGGCTGGCCTCGAACTCACAGAGATCCACCAACTCTGCCTCCCAAGTGCAGGGATTAAAGGCGTGCGCCACCAATACCCAGCCCTAAAAAATGTTTTGAGAACTGCAATGATATTTACTGTATTAGAAATTAGGCTGGGTGGTGGTGGTGTTACACGCCTTTAATCCCAGAATTTGAGAGACAGAAGCAAGCAATCTCCAAGTTTGAGGCCAACCTGATCTAAAGCGTGAGTTTCAGGACAGCCAGAGCTACACAGAGAAAACCTGTCTCAAAAAAAAAAAAAAAAAGAAAGAAACAAAAAGAAAAGAAAAAGGAGAAAATAAAGGAAAAGAAATTTAGTAACTTTTTTCAATTAGCAATAAACACATATTAATTTAAACATTTTTATTAATTATAATTCTATTTGACATTATTCTTTACTTTTGTGAGTCTGTTTAATGTCTTTCACATAAAACTGGATCCTCATATCTTCTTCCACAAAATGTGATATCCATGTTGAGTAGCCTGAAAGGTTCTCTGGGGATGCATATATGGAGTGCGTAGTTCTGGGATAGAACAAAAGATAAACAATGCCTTATTGTTACTATAAAAATATATCCCAACCTCACAGACCCCTCGAAGTCTCGGCATACACATTGGCAAGCCCACTTCATTGTGACCTTTTGTCCTCATTTGCTCCTGCATGGGCAGCCGGTGAGGCAGACAGTGAGCTTTCATTTTCCTACTGCAGTGCCTTATATAATTCTTGGTGCTATGCAGATACCAAATAAACATTTGATGAACCAATGAAATATTAGTGACTTGTTTGCTAAGATTAGGAAGAGGGAGAGAGAGGAAGAGCGAGGGGGAGAGAGAGAGAGAGAGAGAGAGAGAGAGAGAGAGAGAGAGAGAGAGAGAGAGAGAGAGAGAGAGACTGTCAATCTGGTTGACAGTTTATTGCTGTAGACTTCTAGCTCTGAGTCAGAATAAAGGTCAGAATGTCCTGATCCAGCTTGGTCCAGGGAACAAACATTGTTCTGAGAGGCTCCTAGGGCATAAGAAACAGGGTACGTAGACAGAGTGGCCTTTTGAGAAAGGTCTCCCAACAGTTTACAGCTTTGTTCTTATGGCCTCTCCACACCATTCAGAACATGAAGAAAAGGGGCTCCACATGTTCTGTAGAAACATCAGAAATGGCTCTCTCCCTCTCATACTCCTGACACCTTGGGATGTCCCCCAAGGGTTCATTAGTGGCCAAGCTTGGTTCATTGGGCCGACAGAAGCTCTAGGAGAAGGAAAAGGACTCTGGGGTGCAGTCTGATTATGAGTTTATTATTAGTTCTCCTCTAACATATTAACCAAAATCCAGCTGGGGCTACAGGTGAGGGTGCTGGTTTAGAGCAGTACTTGTTAGGTACCCATTCTGCCCTGGACCGTGAGAGGGTCCTTTGGGGATGCACCAATCAGGCTGGCCAAGCTCAGCCCCTGCTTCAGTGAAATCCCCCCTTTGTAGGTGGGAGCTCAACCTTGTGACTGTGATACAATAATCCCCCAAAAAGCAAGGTGGTGATGATGCACGCCTTTAATCCCAGCACTTGGTAGGTAGAAGCAGGTGAGTCTCTGAGTTTGAGGTCAGCCTGCTCTACAGAATGACTTCCAGGACAGCAAAGACTACACAGAGAAACCATGTCTCAAAGGGAAAATGAAGCAAAACAAAAAAATCCTAAGAAAAGTAACTTTGGGAAGACAGGATTTATTTTGGTTCTTAGTTGGAAGGAAAAGTTCATCATATTGAGGAAGTCCTGGTAGTAAACCCTTGTGCCAGGTGGTGAAATCTAGTCAGGGCAGACAGCTGTGAATCCTATTGTTTCGTTGCCTTCTGTCCTTTTTATGGTCCAGGATCCAAGGCCAGGGGTGGAGGGAGTGTAAGGAAGTTGGGGAGTGTGGGGAGGGGGGACTCAGATATGGGATAGTGCCTTCTCAAATCATTTCACCCAATCAAGATTTGCCCTCTCAGGCATGCCCAGGGGCTAACAGCCTAAGTAGCCCTCCCAGGTGTGTGTGGAGGCTTGTCTCCTAGGGTATTCCAGATCCTGTCACATTGGTCATCAGCCCGGACCATCACAAACTCTGAAAGTGGATGGAAAAGAAGCCGAATCTCCTGGGATTGGGGAACAGTAACAAATTTGATTTTGCTATCAGATAAAAAAATCAGATAAACCAGGTGTTGGTGGTACACACCTTTAATCCCAGCACTTGGGAGGCAGAGGCAAGTGGATCTCTGAGTTTGAGGCCAGCCTGGTTTACAAAGTGAGTTCCAGGACAGTCAGGGCTATACAAAGAAACCCTTGTCTTGAAAAACCAAAACAAACCAACAGCAACAATAAAACCCAAAATCAACCAAACAAAAAAATTGTCTTAGTGTTCTATTACTGGGAAGAGACACCATGGTCAAGGCCACTCTTACAAAGGAAAGTATTTCATTGGGACTTGGCTTCAGAGGCTTAGTCCATTATCATCACAATGGGGAGCATGGTGGCAAGTGTGACACTGGGATAGTAGCTGAGAGTTCCATCCTTAGCTGCAGTCAGATTAAGATTACACCGGCGTAGGCTTTTGAAACCTCGAAGCCTACCCCCAGTGGCACACAAGGCAACACCTCCTAATCCTTCTAATCTTATAAAGAGTTCCACTCCCTGGGGACTAGGTATTCAAATTTGAGTCTGTGGGGGTCATTCTTATTTAAACAGCCACATTATATGAAGGTGTTCTGTAGAGAAGGTGTAAGTCATTTGCTTGAACACACATCTAAAGTAGCAGTAGTTCATGAAATGAAACCTTCCTTCCTTCCCTCCCTCCCTCCCTTCTTTCCTTCCTTCCCTCCCTCCCGCCCTCCCTCCCTCCCTTCTTTCCTTCCTTCCCTCCCTCCCGCCCTCCCTCCCTCCCTTCTTTCCTTCCTTCCCTCCCTCCCGCCCTCCCTTCTTTCCTTCCTTCCTTCCCTCCCTTTCCTTCCTTCCCTCCCTCCCTTCTTTCCTCCCTTCCCTCCCTCCCTTCTTTGCTTCCTTCCTTCCCTCCCTCCTTCCCTCCCTCCTTCCCTTCCTTCCCTCCCTCCCTCCTTCCTTCCCTCCCTCCCTTCTTTCCTCCCTTCCCTCCCTCCCTTCTTTCCTCCCTTCCCTCCCTCCCTTCTTTCCTCCCTTCCCTCCCTCCCTTCTTTCCTTCCTCCCTTCTTTCCTTCCTTCCTTCCCTCCCTCCCTTCTTTCCTCCCTTCCCTCCCTCCCTTCTTTCCTCCCTTCCCTCCCTCCCTTCTTTCCTCCCTTCCCTCCCTCCCTTCTTTCCTTCCTCCCTTCTTTCCTTCCTTCCTTCCCTCCCTCCTTCCCTTCCTTCCCTCCCTCCTTCCTTCCTTCCCTCCCTCCCTTCTTTCCTTCCTTCCTTCCCTCCCTCCCTCCTTCCTTCCCTCCTTCCTTCTACTATGGCCCCTGTTACAACTGTGACCTGATCAGTGTCTATTTTCAGGCTCCAAAAATCATCATGTTTGTATTCCAGGCAGAGGGGGAAGGGGAGATGAGCATGCTCTTCTCTCCTAAAAACAATTTCAAAGTTGCACAGGCCACTTTGCTAGCATTCCATGGACCAGATTATAGCTGCAATAAGAACCTGGAAAAAACAATTTTAAATTGTGGGCTTCATGACTACTTATGGTACCACATACCTGCTTCTTGGAAGATAGAAGCAGAAAGATCACAGGTCAGTCTGAGTGTCTAAGGGAGATGCCATCTCAAAAACAAAATCAGGCCAGGCGTTGGTGGCGCACACCTTTAATCCCAGCACTTGGGAGGCAGAGGCAGGCGGATCTCTGTGAGTTCGAGGCCAGCCTGGTCTACAAGAGCTAGTTCCAGGACAGCCTCCAAAGCCACAGAGAAACCCTGTCTCGAAAAACCAAAAAAAAAAAAAACCCAAAATCAAAGATTTGAAGTATGTAGCTTGGAGGTAGATGGCTTACCTACAGTGTACAAGGACCTGAGATTAATTTTAATTCCATGCATACACTTATATACACACTTAAGAAATTTAAGTGTTCTTTAGGTGTGAAATATACTCCTATAATCCCAGTACTCAGGGAAGCTGAGGCAGTAGAATCACAAGTTTAAGGCCAACTTGGAACCCTGGTGCAAAATAAAAGTGAGAAATGGGCTGGGGTTATAGTTTTGTTGTATAGTGCTTGCCCAGCATTTACAGTTCCCTTGGTTCAGTTATCTGTAGTCTACCTATAATCTATCCATTTTCTGTTTATCTACCCATCCACTCACCCATCTATCTATCCACCCATCCACCCATCCATCCATCCATCCATCCATCTATCCATCCATCCATCCATCCATCTTTGCATGCATCCATTCATCTTAAACTATGGGTTTTCATTGCTGAGGAACAACTAGGGTCAACTGGAGACCTCTGCTTGAGCCTAGATGTGAGGACAGGGAGTGTTTCAGAAGCTGAAGCCAGAGCATGCTCAGAACTTGTACCACGGAGGAATGAACTGGTAGGAAAGAAGTGTCAGGCACCTGATGGGAAGTGGCCAGCTGAAGTCTGTATTCTAGAAACCGTCTGTTTCCCTTGAAAGGCTGTTGACACCCCAATTGCTGGGCCCATACCTGGAGTCTCTGATTGAGTAAATCTTTAGGAGATCTGAAAATATACATTTCTACTAACTAGTTCCCAGGCGCTGCATGTGTGCGCGTGGGGGGGGGGGCAGGCACAGACACAGCGATGACAGTGCTTGCTTCAGCAGCACATATACTAAACCCTTTTATTAATTATAATTCTATTTGACATTATTCTGTACTTTTGTAAGTCTGACTTCACATAAGCTATTTTTATAGTAACAATAAGAAAAAAATGGCATGGGGGGCAGTGCTTGCTTCAGCAGCACATATACTAAAAAATTGGAACAATACAGAGATTATTAAGGCCCCTGCATAAGGGTGACTCACAAATTCGTGAAACATTTTGTATTTTTTTAAATGGGGGGGTTGCAGAAAGTTCTGGAAAGGAAGGTAATTTCTGTAACTCAGGAAGTGGAATCTGTAACTGACAACATGCTGTACTGCTGCTTCCAGAACTTCTCTTATCCCATGAGCTTGCACTCAAGAAAACAGGGCTAATAAAGAGCCTGCAAAGAAATAGCATAAAAGCCTGGTACCCAAGGACCTCCCCACTTCCTAGCAGGGTTACAGTACTAGGCTCCATCTCTACCCATCCCTTACCAGCTCTGAAGGCAAAGCTTAGAGATGAGTGATGTTGAGCAAGTCCTTTTCCCCACCACTCCCAGGTTTCCCCACCAGTAATAATGCTGGAGACCAATCTAGGTGTTCAAGGTGCCAATCACTATCAGTCCCCATAGAATAGCAATGTCTCACAGCCAAAAGAACTCAGATGCTTACCTAAACTGTCATTTAGAATGTAATCTGACACAGACCCTGGAAAGGAACCAAATCAAAATATAAAATGTCCATATTCTTTGATTTCATAGCTCCATATCCAGGAACTGAGTCTGTAGAAACACTGGTTGCTAGGCATGGTGGCACAAACCTGTAATGCCAGAACTTTGGGGGCAGAGGCAGAAAAGATCAAAATCAACTTGGGATACATAAAGACTGCCTCAAAACAAAAGCAAAATACGTGTGCTTCTGTGCAAATATAAGGCTATTCATTGTCTTAATAAGCTTTTCATTTTATAACTAAATACCTGAGGTAATTAATTTATAAAGAGAAAAAAGATTCCTTTGGATTCTAGTTGAAGAGTGAGGGCCTTGAGGCTTGCATGTGAAATGTGTTAGCCTCCAGAAGGTGACATCATTTGGGAAGATTATGGAACTTTAGGAGGAAATGGGTCACAATGTCTCTGAAGTCATGGGCACTAGGAATGCACACAGTGCACATGCATAATACATGCAAGTAAAACACTCCATACATATAGAATAAAAATAAACCTATTTGTTTTAAAGAAAGGGAAAATGACTGGGGGAGGGGTTTTGCTAAGTGGTGACTTTACAAATTATAAATTTCTTTAAAGACAGGGCTTCCTTTGTCTTGTTTAACCGTTTGATGGAAGAGGCAGCACATCTCAGTTACAGTTCTGTTGGGTAGATTGTTTCCTTACTCTGTTACTAAAGTCCCATCTGGAATGAATAAATGTTTGTTCACACATACGCCATAGCTCCTAATTACCTTCTTTTAAGTGATGAAATATAGTTTGGGGAAGACCACATAGATGCTACCTAGAGGAAGTGGATAGAAAAACAATGTCTGCCATAGCTGTAAGTCATCACGTTGGGAGCAGTCCTCACTGTTAACTCTTCACGCATGTGTTCACACATCTGCTGTTGTTGCATGTGTGTACACACATTTGTGTGCTAGTGCCTGAACATTCACGTAGAGGCCAGCGAACAACCGTGGCCATTCTTCCTTAGGTTCTACCTTGCTTTCTGAGATAAAAATCTCTCACTGGCTTGGCAGTAGACAAAGGCAGGTTAACCAGTTAGCCCCAGAAATCTACCTGCCACTGTGTCTTCAATCCTGGAACTATACAAACCTGTGCCACTTTGCCTGGCTTTTTTATGTGGTTCTGGGAAGTCAGATTCAGTTTCTTGTTACCAGAGCACTATGGTCCCTATCCTCCAATCAAAGGTTCATTATCTTTACAAGACAAGCTATGTCTGCTTGTGACTCTCCTCCATAGCTGGGCTTGTTGACTGGAAGATGGGGGTAGGATAGATCACTGGATCCTCACCTAAGTGTTCATCCATTCCTCCCAGCCATGTGTACATAATTCAGCTTTAATTGCACATGACCTCAGGGTCTCAGGAAAGTGCCAGAGTACATAGGCTGAGGAAGGCAGGGAAGGCCTCCATCTATGTGGCCACTGGGGAGCCAGCATCCATGTTCCACAGCAGACCTTCCTCTCAGGTTGCTTCAGGATCACCCACATTCTGGCCCATAACCCCTCACCCATACTCTGTTCAGTAAGTCTAATAAGTTTGTTGGTTCCCAGGGTGAACCTTGCTGGAATCATACTTTGGTTTGTCATTGGAAGAGAGGAAATGTTTATATCTCTTCAGAGAAAAAATTCTCACAACAGACCTGGGCCCAGCATGTTGCTGAGTGAGCTATTGCATCTGCCCTACACCCAAATTTTATGCAAATCTTTGGCAAGTTTTATGGGGAAAGTCTTTAAAAATATATTAAGGGAGAAAAGCTATATTGAATATTAGGATTCTGTTGCCATGAATATAAACCTAGAGGGGGAAATGGAAAGAAAAAATGTCTTCAGACTAAAAAAGCTAGATGAAGTAATTTGGAAGCCGTAGTAGCTAAATGCTGAAAAAGGTGCTGGATCACAATGTACACAGGATGAAAACGTTTACAATGTAGAAAGTGCCCTGAATAATGCAGAAGCCACCCCCCAGGAACAGTAAAGATACTGAGATCCCATAAAGAAAACCTTCCATTAATCTGGAACAGACCAGTGAATGGACAATTCCTCTTTGTGCCTTCACTGAGACTATGAGTTCCTGCAAGACAAGAGCTGGTTCCATTCATCTCAGTCCCTGGGGTGAAACAAAACAAAACAAAACAAAACAGAACTGGGGTTTAATGAGTACTCATTGTACAAATAAGGAAAATTCCACATTATTAGATAATATTTGTTATTAATTGAATTTTATTGTTTTTCATACCTGGAAAAAGTATTTAAAGTTAGTGCCCCAAATGTATACACAAAATGTTCAGGTCATATAACATTACATTGAATGTGAAGGAGTCAACTGAAAAAAAAATCTTCCTTGGCTTCCTTCCTAGAGCATCCATTATTTATCCAAATATTTCCTTTATGTCTGTAAACCTACCTGTAATTACAAAGGTACATGTGTCATGTAATTGCTCAAGATCATTAGCTTTGGAATTAGATACGCCTATATTTGAATCCATCCACTATTTAGTGCTGTGACCTTGAGAAAGTCACTTAACCTCTTACTGGCTCAAATTTCTTAGGGAAATTAAGATAATGATTTTTTAAAAACCTCAAGATTAACTAGGATAATAAGTCAGTTGGGCTAGAGGCGATGATTCAGAGGTTAAGAGCACTGGCTGCTCTTCCAGAGTCCCGAGTTCAATTCCCAGCAACCACATGGTAGTTCACAACCATCTGTAAAGTTATCTGGTACCCTCTTCTGATCTGCAGGCAGAACACTATATCCATAATCAATAAATAAACCTTTAAAAAATCAGTTAACACTTAGGATCGTCCTAATACATATATATCTCAATGCTAAAATAGTATATATATGTGTAACGTGTAGTTTTCCCCGCCAGTTGCCTGGGCCCTGCCAAGCTGTCTGAACCCTCAAATAACACACAGGACACTATATTAATTATACGCTGTTGAACATTTGTTATTGTTTTTCATTGTCTAGCTCTGACTTAATTATTGACCCATTATCATCAATATATATTTATATAAACACTTATCTTTTTTTTGGTTTTTCAAGACAGGGTTTCTCTGTGGCTTTGGAGGCTGTCCTGGAACTAGCTCTTGTAGACCAGGCTGGCCTCGAACTCACAGAGATCCGCCTGCCTCTGCCTCCCGAGTGCTGGGATTAAAGGCGTGTGCCACCAACGCCCGGCCTAAATACTTATCTTTTCGAGAATGCCAGACTTTTGTTCTCTGAGGATCACATGGTGACGGCTCAGTTCACTACATTTCCCAGAATCCTCCTAGACTCCTAGTCCCACCTATCTTGCTTCCCTATTGGCCAACAATGCTTCATTGACATATACACAGGACTTCCCCCATCATATATGTATATATTTTTTAAAGATTTATTTATTCTTATTTTGCGTGTATGGTGTTTTACTTGTTCCACATTCATGTAATGCCCATAGAGACCAGAAGAGGACATGGAATCCCCTGGGGTTGTGTCTGTAGCTAGTTATAAGCCCTGATGTGGGTACTGACATAAAATTTGGGTCTTTGGCCAAAGCAACAAGAGCTCTTACTCACTGGGCCATCTCTCCCATGCTTCCTTTACTTTTTTTTTTTTTGGAGATAGGGTCTCCAGTAACTCTGGCTGTCTTAGAACTTTCTATGTAGACTGAGCTGGCTTCAAACTCATAAAGATCTATCCATCTCTGCCTCCCAAGTACTCCTTCATGTCTGGCATTTGTTTTTCTATGCAGCAAAATATTACAAATATATATTCATACGTGAAGAGCAATTCATTCTTTTGATGGTTATATTGCATTCTAATATATAGGTCTACATAAGCAACACCCTGCACAAGTGTTCCTAATGTTTTATCACTATAAATAACCACAACTCTGCTGCACATACAGATTTTTACAGGGTTGTATGTGGGTGTGGGCAAGGCGTGAAGGGCAGAGGATAACAGCCTGCTAGAATCAGTTCTTTGCTTCCGCCACGGCTTCTGGGAACCAAACTCGATTGTCAGCCTTGAGTGGCAAGTGCCTCCACCTGTGAGTCAGCACAATGCCCCACCCGTTTTCACTTTTCCTTTTAATTTTGTGTGTATGCTTGTGTGTGGCGAGTGTGGGACTTTGAAGATTGATATACAGCCCTAGAAACGGAATTCATGGATCAAAGTGCATGAAATAAAGGAATTAAAATATTGTGTCTAAAAACTGTCAAGCTGTCTTTTTAAGTATTTTTAAAATATCTATTCTATGTGTATGAATGCTTACCACATGTGTGCCTGGTTCCTGAGGAGATCAGGGGTGGGTCTGAGATTCGCTGGAACTGGAGTCACAGATGTGGGTGCTGGAAACCGAACCCGGGTCTTCTGCAAGAGCAGCCCGTGCTTCTTCCCACTGGGGCATTTCTCTACCCCCAATTGTCCTTCTGAAGAGGTCTGTGACTTTCCACTTTCATCAGCTAACATACTTTGCTGCATTTTGATTGTATACACTTTGGCCAGACTAAAGTTTATCTCAATTAACTTACAT